AGCACTGTCAGCTGCTTCTCGCTGCTGTAGCACTGTCAGCTGCTTCTCGCTGCTGTAGCACTGTCAGCTGCTTCTCGCTGCTGTAGCACTGTCAGCTGCTTCTCGCTGCTGTAGCACTGTCAGCTGCTGGTGTTGCTGTAGCACTGTCAGCTGCTGGTGCTGCTGTAGCACTGTCAGCTGCTGGTGCTGCTGTAGCACTGTCAGCTGCTGCTGCTGCTGTACCACTGTCAGCTGCTGCTGCTGCTGTAGTACCGTCTGCTGCTGCTGCTGCTGCTGCTGTAGTACCGTCTGCTGCTGCTGTAGCATCGTCAGCTGCTGCTGTAGCACTGGCAGCTGCTGCTGCTGCTGTAGCACTGTCAGCTGCTGCTGCTGTAGCATCATCTGCTGCTGCTGTAGCACTGTCAGCTGCTGCTGCTGTAGCATCGTCTGCTGCTGCTGTAGCACTGTCAGCTGCTGCTGCTGTAGCACTGTCTGCTGCTGCTGCTGTAGCACTGTCAGCTGCTGCTGCTGCTGCTGTAGCACTGTCAGCTGCTGCTGCTGCTGCTGTAGCACTGTCAGCTGCTGCTGCTGCTGCTGTAGCACCGTTGTTGGTGTGGCTTATTGAGAATACCAAGAAAATTAACCCCAGAGGGTTAGCCACCCAAGATAACCCAAAAAAGTGTGTCATCGAAGACAGAGTAGTACATGCACAATATATACTGTGCATGTACTACTCTACTATTGTGCATGTATCCTTCTCTTTGTGTGTAGGAAAATGTATATTTCATGTGGTAAAAATTTTTTTTTCATACTTTTGGGTGTCTTGCACGGATTAATTTGATTTCCATTATTTCTTATGGGGAAAATTCATTCGCATAACGATAATTTCGCATAACAATGAGCTCTCATAAATGGATTAATATCGTTATGCGGGGGTCCACTGTACTCAAATTCTAGCGGCTTCAAATCAAGGAGGAGAAAGCTGGTAGGCCCACATGTGAGAGAATGGATCTGTGTGGTCAGTGTGCACCATATAAAAAAAATCCTGGAAAGCGCAGTGCATAATGAGAAAAAAAAAAACTCAGACCATTTTTTTTTTAATTCAAATGCCGACTTTGTGGTCTATTTTTGTATAGTATTTATAGTTGTATTCTTGTTTTCTTGGTCTCATATGATAAAATGGAAAACATATTATAGAAATAGAGGTGATTTTAATTGATTTTACTATAAAAACCTGGAAATGGAGCTCAAAGTAGGGGGAATGTTTGATTTTTGCCGATGTTCAAAAGTAAACAAATGATGTCCTTGTCCAATAAATGTCCAACTAGCCATTCTAATATGCAGTCATGAATGGGTTGATGTTATTTATACAATTATTGCAGTACTGCAGTAGTCTGCATAATAGTAAATCTTCTATTTTTTGTTTGAATGAAAATTCAAAATAGAAAGCAAGAGTAATATCAGAGGGGCCTGGAGACACGACTGATGAACAAAGAAAATGTTATTTTAGAGCTAGGAATGTCTGCATTGTTCATTCTGGACCTTATTTTGAAATTGTCATATTTTTTAGTTTTCATGAAATTGGCCAAATTGCAAATTTCTGACCACATTATTGGGTAGTTGAAATTGGTAAATGGGTAGTTTCTTGTACTCAATTGATAGAAAAAATGGAGTTCTAAAGAAATAGTTATGAGTTTGGTTGACTGGAACAATGGAATTAGCCGAAAATAGGGCTCAAAATGGGCGAAATCGCCAATTTGTAAATATCGCCGAGGTCACTAACTTCGCGAAAGCGTAATTCTGTCAGTTTTCCACCAAATTTTGTTTTTTTTTGGTGTCATTACAATCATGAAAAGATTCTCTATCATTTCATAAGAATTTTTTTTTTTTTTTTTTTCAATTTTGCAACATCAGGAGACACCTCAGGATTGGGGGTTGCGACAGTAGAGGGATTAAGGAATGAAGAAAAGCAGGATGTGAGTGTAGGGAAGGTGCATGAGGCATTATGAAGAATGAAAGGAGCTAAAGCAGCTGTAATTGATGGAATCATGACAGAAATATTAAAAGCAGGGAGAGAGAGTGTTGGAGTGGTTGGTATTTTTGTTTAATGTATGAAAGAGAAGGTACCTAGGGATTGGCAGAGAGCATGCATACTTCCTTTATATAAAGGGAAAAGGTTGGGGGGGGGACAAGAGAGACTGTAATACTTATAGGGAAACAAGTTTACTGAGTTGATGGTAGGAAGCTTGTACTTGTTTTACATGATGGTAGGATTGTTGGTGCCTTTTCTCCGTCTCAAAAACATGCAAGATTTCATGTATGTCTTGCTACTTCTACTTACATTTAGGTCATATTACATATGCATGTACAAACATATATATACACACACCCCTCTAGGTTTTCTTCTGTTTTCTTACTAGTTCTTGTTGTTTATTTCCTCTTATCTCCATGGGAAAGTGGACCAGAATTCTTCCTCCATAAACCATGCGTGATGTACGAGGCAATTAAAATGCCGAGAGCAAGGGGTTAGTAACCCTTTCTCCTGTATAGGCTACTAAATTTAAAAAGAGAAACTCATTTTTGGGGGGGGGACCGCCACCCTGCCTTGGTGGGATACGGCCGGTTTGTTGAAGAGGAGAAAAAAAAAAAATAAGATTTCATTTATGGATTTAGATAAGGCATATGATAGAGTGGATAGGGGAGCAATGTGGCAGATGTTGCAAGTGCATGGAATAGGTAGTAAGTTACTAAGTGCTTTAAAGAGTTATAAGGATAGTGAGGCTTAGGTTAGGGTGTGTAGGAGAGAGGGAGATTACTTTCCAGTAAAAGTAGGTCTTGAACATTAAAATGGTATAAAATACCGACAGATTGTTAGGAAAGACACATATGCAACAGTTAGGTATCTTTATTTCGAAACGTTTCGCCTACACAGTAGGCTTCTTCAGTCGAGTACAGAAAAGTTGATAGAAGCAGAAGAGACTTGAAGACGATGTAATCAGTCCATCACCCTTAAAGTTTTGAGGTGGTCAGTCCCTCAGTCTGGAGAAGAGCATTGTTCCAAAGTTTGAAACAATATGGAGTTGAAGTGACAGGATGGAGCCTTATATAGCGCCAGGAGGCGAGACGTACGTCACTAGTAGAACGCAGATGTTGGAAGGTCAGGTCCCTCAGGACCTGAAATCAACTTCGACTACCTCTAATAGTGAGAACGGCTGGATTTGAGAGGGACCTGACCTTCCAACATCTGCGTTCTACTAGTGACCTACGTCTCACCTCCTGGCGCTATATAAGGCTCCATCCTGTCACTTCAACTCCATATTGTTTCAAACTTTGGAACAATGCTCTTCTCCAGACTGAGGGACTGACCACCTCAAAACTTTAAGGGTGATGGACTGATTACATCGTCTTCAAGTCTCTTCTGCTTCTATCAACTTTTCTGTACTCGACTGAAGAAGCCTACTGTGTAGGCGAAACGTTTCGAAATAAAGATACCTAACTGTTGCATATGTGTCTTTCCTAACAAAAGTAGGTCTTAAACAGGGATGTGTAATGTCACCAAGATTGTTTAGCATATTTATAGATGGGGTTGTAAAAGAAGTAAAGGATTAAATTAAGGGAAATCAAATACAAAATGGGAGTTGACAATTACTTTTTGCTGATGACACTGTGCTTTTGGGGGATTCTAAAGAAAAGTTGCCAAGGTTAGTGTACAAGTTTGGGAGGGTGTGTAATGGAAGAAAGTTGAAAGTGAACATAGATAAGAGTAAGGTGATGAGGGTATCAAACTATTTAGAGAGAAATAGGATATCACATTGGAGGGAGGGAGTGTGGAAGAAGTTTATGTTTTCAGATACCTGGGAGTTGATTTGTCAGTGGATGGGTCTATGAAGGATAAGGTTAACAATAGAATTGATGAAGGAAAAAGGGCGAATGGTGCATCAAGGGATTTGTTGAGACAAGGAACGTTATCCATGGAGGCAAAGAAGGTTATGTACAAGAGTACAGTAGTACCAACAACCTTATATGGGTGTGAAGCATCAATTGTAAATGCTGCAGTGAGAAGGCAGCTGGAGGCAGTGGATGTCTTGTGTCTGAGGGCAATGTGTGATGTAAATATTATGCAGAGAATTTGTAGTGTGGAAATTAGGAGGTGCTGTGGAGTTACTAAAAGTATCAGAGGGCTAAAGAGGGGTTGTTGAGGTGATTTGGTCATTTAGAGAGAATGGAACAAAGTAGAATGACTTGGAGAGTGTATAAATCTGTTGGGCAAGGAAAGTGGGGTAGGGGTATTCCCCAAAAAGGTTGGAGGGAGGGGGTAAAGGAGGTTTTGTGGGCGAGGGGCTCAGACTTCCAACAAGCATGCATGACCATGTTAGATAGGAATGAATGGAGACTAATGGTTTTTGGGATCTGACGAGCTGTTGGAGTGTGAGCAGGGTAATATTTTGTGAAGGGATTCAGGGAAACCAGTTAGCCAGACCTGAGTCCTGGAAATAGGAAGTACAATGCATGCAGTAAGCTGTCATATCTGACCACCTCTGCAAAGACAGTGATTATGTATGTGGGTTGGTGAAAATGTTGAACGATGATGAAAGTTTTTTCTTTTTGGGTCACCCTTCCTCGGTGGAAAACAGCTGTGTTAAGAAGAAAAAAACTATTAGATAAGACTGCTGAAACTACATCTTAATATTTCTTGTGAAGGTTACAGTAAGGACAGCTTTTATGAAGTTATTGTACAACTTAGCTCTCACAACTTTACCGATGAATCAACCAGATATAACTTAGTTCAATTAGCTTTCGTTCTAACTTTCAATACACTAATCTACCATTAACTACTTATTTTGTATCCCATCCCAATCCCTCACCAAGACTTGCAACAACACTGAACATTTTTCTTTAATTTATTGTATCTTGGTCTCTACATTTATCCTCCTATTATTAATCTTGTTAAAACAAATACAACAACTCAGAAATACACGAAGTCACTCATACGCAATTTTTATAGTACTGGGTTGACCTACCGAAGATAACCTTTGTTTTCTTCTTTTTCTGCAAGACTCTTAATGGATCCCATGAGGATATCATCATAGCCCAAAAATTCATCCAGAATAAACCGAGACAGAGAATCACCAAAACAGGCATCTTTCATGGGATCCAGTGTAACAATCTTGACCGGAATGTTGAGGCGCTGCCTTGTAGCTGGTGAGAGTCGGAGGAATCCATATTCAAGCGAGTATTCCACGATGTACTCGTCCTCTGGCCACACTGTTAAAATATATTTATGTTGTTACTACATCTCCATTTTGAGACTTCTTTTCTTTCTTCCTCCCCTTTTGATTTCCTTCCTCCTCCTCCTCCTCCCCTAATTTCCTTCCCGTCTCCCATTTTCCTTCTCCTCTACCTAAAGCATATGCTAACACTCTTAATGGAGAAGTTCATTACATATTTGGGCTTCCTACAAGCAACTCCAGGACAAAAAAAGCAATGGACATTTAGATGTTACTAACTTTAGCTTGGCTACAAATATCTCTGGGACTTTGTATCATCTGTTGCTATAGACAATTACATGTGATTTCTCATTAGATCTATTTCCACTATTTGCAGTATGATGCACATTAATGTGAAAAATAAGTCTGTCCTTTTATTAAAATTTTCAAAAAATGTCTGATATTTCATTCAAAACTTATGTGTACAATAGGCAAAATTTTAAATGCTGGGTAGTTAAGTTTGCCTACTGTTAATATGTTCAATACTATATCATAATCACTAACTTGCTCAACAAAAATAACTGGGGTTTGGAATTGAACCAACTTTTACTTTTATTCTTGCCACAGGAGGGAGCTGGGTACATAAAAAAAAAAAATGCTATAAATAAATTATTTTTCCCAGAGAAATGCAAATCACATACAAGTTATACAACACTGCTGAATGACGATCTGAGAGTAAGTAGGACTTCAGTAAATTTACAAACAAAAGCAATCCACGCAAGATAACGAGAACAGCAACTTAGATGACAGTGATGTAACCAAGACTTCTGAGATGACACTGATCCAATGAAGACTTTAATGTAGGAAAAGTAATTACAGTGATAAGCAAAATTGAAAAGTTAGACGAAATGGATAAAATGAAAGGAAATATAAGACTATATAATCTTGCCCTTGCTGTACAATAATTCTGACCTTGCTGTACAATAAACTTACCAGCTTTGGCTAGCATTTCTAATGGTTCCTTTTTTGGCAAAGGAGAATCATCATGTACTTGCACTGTCAGCTCATCCTCTGTGTGGTTGGCAGTGAACACATCCATGTCCACATTGGCAACATCTGGCAAGTCAGCAGTAACTTGTTCCTCTAGCGACTCAAAGTCCACTGGAACTGAGAAATATGAAGCTGATTATTCTCAACTAAATAATTACTCTACAGTCGAACCTTACATGACCAGACTCAATATGATCTCGAACTGTCTGTTGAAGCTGAATTTCCACTGAAAAAATACAGGAAATTACAGTACAGTACTGTATATACAAATTGCAAAGCTATACAGCAAACCCTTGATAAAACAGACTGGAAATACAGGACAAAATCTGCTGGTCATCTGATTCAGAACAAATAGTCCACCAGTTATGGAATTGTCTAATAATGTTACACTGACAGCAAAACAATCTCACTGCTATCTGCCACAACTGCAATTACTGACTGCCATCCTCCCAATAGTTGGTTACATGAAGGATTTACTATACATGTACTTACCAGGAAATGAATTAGTGTCCTTTTGCAAATTACTTGATGTAAGTTCTTACAGGTGTTGCTTTAATCAGCAGCAGTAGCAGCAGCAGTGAAGGGAACACAAAACACAGACATTGCAGGAACAGCAGACTAACTTCATTGGAAGAATGGGAACTGAGTGGTGAGTGACCCCACATGGATTTAAGAGTTTCACAAAATATAGAATCAAATTCTAGAGTTTCAACATTCAATAGAGATACTGCTGTTGAGGGAGGTGTTACAGAATGTTGCTGACACACAAGATCTTCTTAAATACTTAAAAAGTGTCGTTGCTTCACATATTAGGGTTGTTACACACATCCGATAGCATATACATCTTCATGATCAGTCTGTTCAATTACATTTCCTCCATATTACCTATTGTTAATTCTTAGGATCATAGCTCTTATGGCCCAGTCCCAGACCAAGCTTCCTGGTTAATGGCTTGATCAGTCAGGCTATTGGTGCTAGCAACACAATCCAACAGAGGCATCACAGCCCAACTGATCAGGAACTGGCTTTAAAATTATGAAAACAGCTAGGGGTGTGTTAGCATTTCCCCTTATATATGGAGCGAGCATGCTGACAATTTTGTACCACCTGCCAGGTATTTTGCTCTCGTAGGGAATAACTTCAATGTGTCAATTTGGAGCAAGTCCTTTTAGTATTTACCAAGTGGAAAATTGTGCCGCTTCCTTTTTGCCTGTGCTCCAGGAACAGACTCAGCAGAACCTGGCAATTTTAGAAGCATAATGTATCATCAGTGAGCCTCATCTCTGGCATAAAACTGTTTTCCACTAACAAGACTGCTGAACTTTTCTTCCTGTGTCATGAACATTTAAGATGCCAGGAAGATCTTGCAAACCACTGCTTAAATTAAATATACACATACAGTGGAACCTCAAATATCGAGCTTTCTTCGTTCCAGACGGCTGTTTGAGTGCTGTTACTGAACGAATTTATTCCCATCAGGATTAATGTAAATTAGATTAGTTCATTTCAGACCCTCAAAAAAACACTTATAAAAGCACTTACAAAAATACACTTGCATAATTGGTCGAGTTGGGAGCAGTTCGATATTTGAGGTTCCACTGTACCTTTACTTTCCTCTGGGCTTAATAATTCTTAATCCTCTAATATTTCCTTTCCAACTTAGAAAACCTGATCCGAGATCAGAGAATGGATTAGATAATCTCAAGAACTACTAGCTAATACATTGCTCATCACTGAAGTACGATGGGTGGAAGGCACCTGATGTAATTTAAAGTCCCAAGTAATACCCTTCTCCCTGAGATTTGTCGAGAAAGTTATAATGGCCTGGCAACTGACAGCATGATGTCTCAGGATTCCATATGACTACTGGATGAAACCTAAGTGACTTCTAGGCTTGTGTGGTGGATGGTTCAGTGCCCATGGTCCCCCTGCACCGTGTGGCTATTGAAGATTTAATATGGGAAGGAATAGGTTACTGACACAAAAGACAATTGCAGAGATCATTGGACTACACAAGACAGGCCATCAAACAAAGGGAATAGTAAGAGCCAGCAATATGAGAGAGCATCCAGCGATGACCTGGTTGTATTGGTTCCTTGACGACAGTGCTTGTGACGTGCCGACCAGAATTATCTTCCGAGAAGCCTAGAAAAATATCCCTATCAACATTAACTGTACTAACATACCTTGAATTGGTCTGTAATTTTCCAAAATCTTTCACTCGGTGTGATGCAAGGTTTTTATGCAAACGGTCCCTCTTTGCCACACCAAAAATCTGCTGTGCAATAGTTTCAGGAATGAAGGGAAGTACCCTTCTTTAATGGCTGGCCAGGAAACTTCCCAGACATGAACCCCATTGAGAATATCTGGGTTGAGATAAGGAGATATCTACTCAGGAAAGGACATTAGCCCATTCCTACAGCTTTAGGATGCCATACATGACTCATGGGCAAATTTACCCTACAAGACGCTGAATACAGCCTCTTCTCACTTAATGATGGAGTTCCATTCCTAAGACTACATTGGTAAACAAATCAATCGCTAAGTGAGGAGCATACTATACGTGTAATGGTAGTAGGTTTGTGTCAACCATCTTTGATATTATTTTAATGTCACCTTTGCACCATTTATAACATTTCTAGTATATTTTTAAATGTTTATACAGTAGTGTACTATATACTTTAATAAACACAATAGAGGAAATCAGCTCCAATATACATTATTTAGGTATGTATACTGGTCAGACAGCCCGTCTTAAGTCCAAGGCATCAGTAAACGAGTGTGTCGCTAAGTGAGGAGAGGCTGTCGTGTGTTTAATCACTTCCTAGATGGTTGAAGGATGTCCTAAAGTGCAAAGGATAACCTATTTTGTGGTTGTGACTTCAGAGGGGAAGGGGGCAACTTACTTTAATGATGAACACTAAGTAGTTAAAACTTCTATTCTCACTAATACCAAATCTATTCATGCTAATATACTGTTGGTGGTGAAGCATGTAAAACATGCTGAAGACTGTATATGTGTATGGCCCATTCTGAATGATTATTATGCAGTTTAATAAAACACCTGACAGAAAACTACTCACCATGAGAATAATTTTGAGAACTTAATTCTCGATTTTCAAATTCAGGCAGTCCTGGGAAGAGGAAGAAAGGTGAACATTAACCAAAGGGTATCAAGTTGCAAGATAACAGGCACACAAGAAAATAAGTGGCAATACAACACACTGTTAGTTAAGCTGAACTCATATTCAGGAAATGAAATGCCAGAAAATCTTACCATGCACATTAAAGGCCCATTAAGCATTCACATAAACTGCCAGAACATTATTATAAAAAGCCAATATTGAAAAAAAATAAATAAATAAATAATTAAATAAATAATTAAATAAATAATAATAACCCAGGTAGTAGGTTGGTCAACAGCAACCACCCAGGGAGGTACTACCGTCCTGCCAAGTGAGTATAAAACGAAAGCCTGTAATTGTTTTACATGATGGTAGGATTGCTGGTGTCCTTTTTTCCGTCTCATAAACATGCAAGGTTTCAGGTACGTCTTGCTACTTCTACTTACACTTAGGTCACACTACACATACATGTACAAGCATATATATACACACACCTCTCTGGGTTTTCTTCTGTTTTCTTATTAGTTCTTGTTCTTGTTTATTTTCTCTTACCTCCATGGGGAAGTGGAACAGAATTCTTCCTCCGTAAGCTATGCGTGTTGTAGGAGGCGACTAAAATGCCGGGAGCAAGGGGCTAGTAACCTCTTCTCCTGTATATATTACTAAATGTAAAAGGAGAAACTTTCGTTTTTCCTCTTGGGCCACCCTGCCTCGGTGGGATAGGTGGGATACGGCCGGTGTGTTGAAAGAAAGAATAATAATAACAATAATAATAATGGTAAAAAATAAACTTAATTCCGTGTAGAGTATGTATCAGTCAGTGGTGAATGTCTTATTAATGAAGAATAGAAAATGAGTAAATATTTTTTTCCCATTAATGCATATACATTATTCAGCACACTATCATTCCAACACAGATGGTGAAGATAAATAAATATCGTATTACCATGACATATAACTATCAAGGATTTTGCCCACTTGGCCCATTAATAAAAGCCACATTACCAAACTTTTAGATATCTTCATGGTTTAATTAATGTCTATTCCTTGCATATCTTAATTGTGGCACTGAAGGAAGGAATTTTTAAAAATTACAAATTGCTTGGACCAATAGGTACACAAACTTGCAAAACACTTAAGCCAAACCTAACCCCAAATATTAAAAATCAATCGCAATAATATGTATATAATGAAACAAATTCATACCAGGTAAAGCCAATAGGCGTAAGTTAAAAAAATAAAAAACATTACGCCGTTAATATTAAAAGAATACGCTAGAATTTCCCTAAGGTCCAGACAGGCACCCCAGCAGTTATAAAAATTCTAGATGCTGCAGCAACTAAAAGTGTCGGCAAGTCGTTACAATGTGTCACAGACAGTGGTATACCACAAGATGCACAAAAAAACTGAATTATCCACGGGCAGGTGGCCATGAGTTAGGTGTGCCTTCCAAAGACCTACATTCTGCTGAACTTGCCTGTCACCAAGGCAAACCCCCAATTGACTACCACAAAGGATTTTCCCCAAATTAAGTTTCAGGGACAGAATATGAGGCCGGTGTCGAGCAAATGCAACGAGAAATGCTTGGGTATTATACTAGATATAAACTTGGCCCTTAGATCCCAAGATATCTGTCTGAAATAAATTACAGTACAATGCTTGGTGCTAAATTTGAATCTGTCATACTAGGATTTTCATGTGTATCTTGCCCCTAGCTTCTCAGACAGCAGTGGTACATGTCTCACCCAGATAAGGGTTAAGTACCGATCCTTCAACTTGATATTTAAAATCTTTTTAACAATAACCTCAGTCTGCTGTACATTCCACAAACGCATCGCATAACGTTAAATTCGCCTAACGATACATTTTAACGCTAACATTTTGCCTCGGCTAACGCTAAAAAACTTTCCTAACAATATTCGTTCTCGGGTACCAATTAATATCGTTAAGTGAGGGTCCACTGTATATGGCTAATCAATTGCGCGTTATTGGTTCCAGAGATAAACTGTATGACAAGTCTCGCACCTAACAAACTGAAAAGGAAATTTTATAGGAGACAAGAAATTATACAGTTGTATAATGAATATAATTAGATACGTATTTGGTCATTTAGAGAGAATGGATCAAAGTAGAATGACATGGAGAGCATTTAAATCTGTAGGGGAAGGAAGGCAGGGTAGGGGTCGTTCTTGCAAAGGTTGGAAGGAAGGGGTAAGGGAGGATTTGTGGGCGAGGGGCTTGGACTTCCAGCAGGCGTGCGTGAGTGTGTTCGATAGGAGTGAATGGAGACGAATGGTATTTGGGACCTGACGATCTGTTGGAGTGTGAGCAGGGTAATATTCAGTGAAGGGATTCAGGGAAACCGGTTATTTTTATATACCCGGACTTGTGTCCTGGAAATGGGAAGTACAATGCCTGCACACTAAAGGAGGGGTTCGGGATATTGACATTTTGGAGGGATATGTTGTGCATCTTTAACCGTATATGCTTCTAAGCTGTTGTGTTCTGAGCACCTCTGCAAAAACAGTGATTATGTGTGAGTGAGGTTAAAGAGTTGAATGATGATGAAAGTATTTTCTTTTTGGGGATTTTTCTTTCTTTTTGGGTCACCCTGCCTCGGTGGGAGACGGCCGACTTGCTAAAAAAAAAAAATTGTAAAACTCACCTGCCATCTTGTATGTTTATATGACAAAAATTTCAACAATCGCCAGACTGCAAAATGTTAACCACAGGCTTCTGTTCCAGACTGATATAACATCGAGCTTTGTATCTGAGAAATATGCCTTGCAACAGTTTATATCCAACTTACCATAAATTTTTTTATCTCCTATTGGGTCCTGAGACATAGTTACTATTGGGTCCTGAGACATAGTAACTAGCTGCTCAGGAGTGGAGTCTTCTGCAGTCCTAAGATCAGCACCCTGCAAGTATCACCAAAATCTCACTCTATAATCAGACAAGGCAACACAGAAGCAATGCAAATGACAAAATTAACCCTTTCACTGTCCATCAGGTAGATCCAGGTTATTGGTGTCAGGGTACCTTGTGTAGATCTACGTAATAAGCTCGTCTCGCTCAATTAAGCTACAAGCAGTAAAATTTGGTCTAGATATGGGAGAATAGGTCTGTGCAGCAAGTGAGCACAGTATAAAAAAAATCCTGCCCCACAAGATGCAAGATGGAAAAAGCAAAATTCTGACCTTGTACTTAATTTAAAATAAGTTTTTTTAGAATGGTAGTTATGGTTTTATTGGCTATTTCTTTGTATCATTTCACAGAATGGAAGATATATTACTGAAAGAGATGATTTTGGTTGGTTCCAGGACCAAAAGCGGTAAATACTCCCCAACAACTTAAAGAGCTTTTTACTAGGTCTGATTCAATTCTTGGGATGCCATAAACCATAATCCAATCACACCTGTAATATTTTATTACTCGAGAAATAAGGTAAATCTTCAATTATTTTTCTTTTTTGTGATGAATTCAGAATGGAAGTTAAGTGTAATACAGGAGAGACCTGGAGATGTGATTAATAAACAGAAAATACTGTTATAGTGACTGGAATGTCTAGAGTATTTATTTTGTTTTTAAATTGGACTTTTTTAATTCTGGGTAAAATTGGCTAAATTTTCAACTTGTGTACTTTATTGGGTAGATATATTTGACTTAGCAATTTCTTAAGGTCAATCAATAATGAAAGAGCTAAGAATCTGGATGAATTGAGCAATGGTACTGGCTTAAAACAGAACTCAATGTGGGTAAAATTGCCGAGGCATAAACTGCACCCAAACCACTAACTTTGCACATGTGTAATTCTACCAATTTTCCATCAAACATTGTATTTTTGGTGTAATGACCTTCAGAAAAAAGATTTTCTATCATTTCAGAAGAAAATATTATATTTCTACTTTTGAAAAATGTGGTCACTGAGCACTTGGAACTTCAGGGGTTTGGACAGTAAAAGGGTTTAACTACATTAACTAATTGTGTATAGCAATATAAAGCACACAGATAGAATTATGAACAACAAATTTAAATGAGTAAACAAGAAGCAAACAACAAATTTAAATGAGTAAACAAGAAGAAATCCCAGACCTATTTGTAATTATAAAAACTGGCAAGAATACAGATGCAACATTTCTAAGAGGCTGCTGTATAAAAAAAAAAAAAAGACAAAAGAAAGAAGGGAACATGTAGCACTTTTAAAAAAAAAATAAAATTCAAAGAAATGTTAATTCTAGACCATGATGATTTCTCAAAATGTTTAACTGGATCAAGTGCTGTGGAGGGTCCTAGGGACCTTCATGAATGTCTTTTATAATATGCCACCAAATAACAGCATGACTAGGCATGAATGTACAAGCAACAATGCAATAATAACTATAATTCAGAAAACTGCAGCAATCAGATCCAGTGCTAAGCAAGTGATAACATGGAATTGGAACCAATCATGCCTTAAAACAGGGATGGGTGCACTATATTGGCAGACTATAAGAGTGCATTTAATAATGCAACATGGCAAAGAGATGCAACTAACTGGAGTAACTGGAAAGATATTGACAGATCAGGAACACCCAAACAAAAAGAAAACAAGTGCATCTAGAGGATTGTTTTTTTGACAAATCAATTTTACAGGTTAAGAGCTGTTATCCTACCTCGGTGCATTTCAAAGCCCAGCCCTGTCTAAGGTACACTACTTACCCCCCCAGGAGGCTACCCACAACAGACGACTAACACCCAGGTACCTACTTACTGCTTGGTGAACAAGGACATTACGTGCAAAAAAATATACCCAACGTTTCCACTCTTGCTGGTGGATCGAACCAAAGACCCCTCAGTATGTGGGTCGACTGTGATGCCAAGCCATGGGACAACTGCAAGGATTAGTGTTGGGCCCACATACTCCTATTTCTGGACCACACTGGAGATTTCCCACTAAACTAAGGTGACCTAAAGAAACACAAACACAAAAATCACTCCTTATGAAAGCAAAAGACTCGACAGGCAGTGCAACATACCCCCAGTGAAAAGCAAGGATGCTGCGAGTACACCGAGAGAAAACACAGTGAGGGTCTGGGGCCAAGACTGTTCAACAGCCTACCATCACAAGTAAGGGAAATTACCAACACCCTGGCTGTCTTCATGAAGGAACTGGACAGATACCTAAGTCAGTACCCAATCAGCCTGGTTGTAGTTAATACACTGGACTGTTTGCAGCCTGCAGTAACAACCTGGTTGATCAGGCCTTCGTCCACCGGAAGCTCTGGTTAAGGACTGGGCCACATGGGTGTTGATCCCCAGAACAAGCTCCGAGTAGACCCCAGGTAAGAGATAAGGAAAGGAGAAAAAAGGGAAGCGTGTCATCTGCAAGACAAAGTTCACCAATACAGTTAAATAAAAAACAGGGACCTAGAAATAACTATTGCCCTAAACAGAAGCAGAATAACATCAACAGGACAGGCTAGGTTTACAAACAAAGAGTAGCATTCAAAAATCAAGACAGACATTCCAAATTAGGCTTTACCTCATTGATTTTTTTTTTTTTTTTAATAACCAGCTGCCTCCCAATAAACTAAAATGAACCTCAATGAAGTCCTTGTAAGCACATACTCCATCAAAATCTGCATGTTCCACATCCATTACTTGGGCGATCTAAGTTTTTTAATAAAATGCTCAATACCAATGGCAGGATTCCCAGATCTACACTTCCAAAAAAGTATCATGGCATTATCCATGAGCCAGGCTCCAGGAACAACAAAGTCACATAAGATATTACTCAAACCATTCTCTGCTGCCAATATGCATGTAACTGATCTACAATACACAGACATTTTGTACGAGATGACCCATTTCCATTACAAGTGAACCAAAATTTGTGCTTGATTAATATTATGTCTGCAGGGCCAAATGGAGGATACAACTGCATCTGCATTTTTCCTATGGAATACATCCTTCATGAATGCTGAGGGAATACAGTATAAAGAATGTGAAAGCTAGGTTCATCTCTGAAATAATGAACAGGAAGATATATGATCACAACATACAAAATACTCCAGTTTATAAAGAGGGTAGACAAGGACAGGCTCTTTACCAGGTGTACGAAGACAAAGATAGCATAGATGGAAATTACACACCCAACTGAGCCATGGGAATGTCCCAATTCTTGAAAACAAGAGTGGTAAAGAAATGGAATAAAGTTAGCAAGGATAGTGGGAGCAGATGCCACACACAGGGGTTCAAAAGTAGATATGACCAAGCTATTTTCTAGCAAGTTTCATTCTCCTAAGTGCAGGTTATTTGTGTACTGTTCCAGTCACAGTATTGTGCTTTTTTTTTTTTTTTTTTTTTTTTTTTTTTTTTTTTTTTTTTTTTTAGTCTAAGCTATTTCATGCCAGCCAGTCAGACAGATATTTTCACACACCATCCCTACCTGCTCAGAGCTTTTCTGGTTGTCAACATTAGTTTCCACTTCAGCGGCATCAGTACCTGGGTGTCATGCCTGTTACCGACCCATCCCCATCCGTGACCACAGGCTCTACTCCACCAAACAACCTGGAAAACAACACACTGCTTAAGTTAAGCAATTTAAGCCAAATAAGAAATTCTAAACTGTTCATTGTACCTAAATAAATTTATAAAATTATTTAGCTATTTCTACAGAAACTATCACTTTTTTTTAAAACTAGCTGGCTCCCATACATGTAGGGTGACCTGACTAAGAAGTTAACACACTCACTCATTCAACCACTGTCTTGCCAGAATGACAACATTATGGTTCAGATGAACCTCCAAACTGCAACATTCCTACCCCTCCTTCAGAATGAAGACATTACTTCCACCTCATGGACTTTAAGTCCAGTTAACTAGTTTCCCTGAATTCCTTTCATAAATGTTACTTTGCTCATGCCAACAGTACACTGTTATGCAGGGTTCTGCACGGCATTGCAATGTATATATAGTGGAGAAGTGTGCCATGATTTTGATTAACTATGACATAATTGTAAATAATAATGTATGAACTATGGAGAAATGTCACCCACAATTTTATAATTCATACTGTGCATTTGGGGGTACTGTAAAATACTTTAAACTGTAAATGTAAGGAAATCCTGTCAGGGATTTATTTTCCAACTGTGTTTGGTTAGCGGGTAAGAGTAGTTTGGGTATTCACATGGAGGCAGCATGAAGTGAAGGCTGGCGTCTGAGACGCCGTGTATCTAAGCTAAGTTTGTAGTTTTGTACTCATTTGGTTAGGCATCTCGAGCTATAAGCTCTTTTATGGTTTACCAGTATGCTCGCCTAGGTTCTGATATGGTCAGGGACTGCAGGATGAGTGAGGACTGAGGACATAAGAGGTAATGGGGGTTAGTGGAGTAGGGAAGGCCTGGCATTGCTGGGTTAAGTGTTTATGTTTTGCTGGACTCTCCAGTCGCCTGCTTCTTGTGTACCATTATTTGGGAGCTTAGGAGAAGAGATATATGAAGGCGGTTTTCTAGAGTGTGTATGTAGTGTTATCCCTAATAAATATATATTTTCCTAACTAGGAATTTTGCCTACCCCTCCCCACTGATAACCAACCCATTGAAGTAATAAATGCTGGTTTAGCATTTCCTGTTTTGACTGGGATAGCCCTGGGTGCCCTTCCTGCCTGAGATGTGTGTAACTTTTACCTTTGCCCTGAGACAGGGCCACTGTTCCCAGGTAATCCCACACTGTCTGCATAACACACATTCAAACCACTTGCCTCCACTTACCCCTATCTAACACTCACCCAAGCCTACTGAATTTCTAAGCCCCTAGAACTCAAAGCCTCCTTTACCCCCTCCCTCCAACCTTTCCTAAGATGACCCTTACCTCTCCTTCCTTCCACCCCAAATTTATATGCCTTCCTAGCCATTCTATTTTTGTCCATCCACTAAATGTTCAAACCACCAACACCTACTAAGCCCTCTGATTAATACTTTTGGAAACTCCACACCTCTTACTAATCTTGAAACTCTCTATTCTCTGCATAATATTCACACCACATATTGCCCTCAAATATGATTTCTACTGCCTCTAGCCTTTCTGCTGCAACATTCAAAACCCATGCCTCATACCCATAAAGCAATGTTGATACCACTATACATTCCAGTTTTTGCCTCCAAACATGAAGTTCTTTTGTTTCCACAAATGCCTTAATGTACCATCCACCTTTTTTCCTTTCCTCTCTCAATGAACCATCTGCCAACAAGTTCACTCCCAAATATCTGAACACATTTACTCCCTCCATACTTCGTCTTTCATAATTATTAATAAGCACAACCAAGTGCTTTTTATAAATCCTTTTATTAATGGCAGAGCTATAGTACTCTCTGAGACAAAAGAAATAATTTGTCTGACTCAGAGAACACACTAGTCTGTGGTATTCCTTCAACGCTCCAAACTCATGGGTTAATCTATGGCACTTCTAGTTTCAGGAAACACAGCTTAGTGTTGCCACTCTATATAGGTGTCAGGTTCTGTGCTTTCCACCTACCAACATAAACGCTAAAATGATTAGAGACTTAGAACCGTACAAGACTTACATATCAATATCCGAGCCAAGAGCACCAAGGAACTCCAGTTGTCGCTGCTGCAAGCGCTCCTCCTTCTCATAGCTCTGCTCCACTGTATAATCTTCACCTAAACAAATAAATGCAATGCACATTAATGTAAAGAAAAATTATACTAAAGAATATGAATAAGGAGTGGCTGAAGTAGAATTTTCAAAAATCTTGAAGGAGAAATTTCAGAACTTTCACTTCTCTGGTGCTATGGGTCACCACACCTGCATTTAGAAGAGAACCCAGTCTACATACAGTAAATAAAAAAATAAAGGTGTGAGTAAAATAATTGCCAGTGAGAATGAGGCAAAAAAGCTAGTGAAATGGTTGTGAAGCAGATAGACCGACTGAAGCAAAATAAGTCACCGGGTCTTGATGAGGTTTTTTCAAGGGTCCTAAAGGAATGCAAAATGGAAGTCTGTGAACCATTAACTAATATTTTTAATTTATCTCTTCAAACTGGTGTAGTGTCTGATATGTGGAAGATGGCTAATGTAATTCCTATTTTTAAAACAGGGACAAGTCGTTACCGTCAAATTACCGCCCAATAAGCCTGACCTCAATTGTAGGCAAATTACTAGAGTCAATTATAGCTCAAATTATAAGAAGCCATCTCGATAAGCATAGCTTGATTAATGATACTCAGCATGGATTCACAAGAGGCCAGTCTTGTCTAACTAATTTATTAACTTTCTTCAGTAAAGCTTTTGAGGCTGTTGACCACGATAAAGAATTTGATATTAATTACTTAGATTTTAGTAAGGCATTTGATAGAGTTCTGCACCAAAGACTGTTGAAGAAAGTAGCAGCTCATGGCATTGGGGGAAGGGTGCTCTCGTGGATCGAATCATGGCTCACAGACAGGAAGCAGAGAGTCTCCATAAATGGGGTTAAATCCGAGTGGGGATCAGTAACAAGTGGCGTTCCACAGGGATCAGTCTTGGGCCCGTTGTTGTTTATAATATATATCAATGATCTTGATGAAGGAATTACTAGTGATATGAGCAAATTCGCCGATGACATGAAGATAGGTAGGATAATTGATTCAAACGTAGATGTTAGGGAACTTCAGGAGGATTTAGACAAACTATTCTTGGTCAGAAAAGTGGCAGATGCAGTTCAATGTAGATAAATGCAAGGTTCTGAAGCTCGGGAGTGTCCATAACCCTAGCACTTATAAGTTAAATAATGTAGAACTTAGCCATACAGATTGCGAAAAGGACTTGGGGTTACGGTAAGCAGCAACCTTAAACCAAGGAGCCAAGCAAAGCATATGTTTTTAATCAAGAAACAGAAGTCCAGAGGTCATACTGCAGCTTTATACATCATTAGTAAGGCCTCACCTAGATTATGCAGCTCAATTCTGGTCTCCATATTACAGAATGGACAAATTCGTTAGAAAAACATTCAGCGTAGGATGACTAAATTAATACATAGCATTAGAAATCTTCCTTATGAAGAAGATTGAAGACTCTTAAGTTACATTCACTTGTTAGACGAAGAATGAGGGGAGACCTGATCGAAGTGTATAAGTGGAAGATAGGTATTAATAAAGGGGATATTAACAAGGTCTTGAGGATATCTCTCCAAGAGAGAACCCGCAGTAATGGATTTAAATTAGATAAGTTTAGATTTAGAAAGGACATATGAAAGTATTGGTTTGGAAATAGGGTAGTTGATGAGTGGAACAGTCTACCTAGTTGGGTTATTGAGGCTAGGACTTTGGGTAGTTTCAAATTTAGGCTGGATAAGTACAAGAGTGGGAGGGGTTGGATTTGAGTGGGACTTGCACATCGGAGCTTGTTTCTTGGGTGGCATTGAAAATTGGGTTGGTCAAATGTTTGTTAGTGGGATGAATTGTAAAGGACCTGCCTAGTATGGGCCAACAGGCCTGCTGCAGTGTTCCTACTTTCTTATGTTCTTAAGTGAGAAAACAATTAGAGCCTCTCCTCACTTAACGACGGGGTTCCGGTCCCAAGAGTAGGTTAGTAAACGAATTGGTTGTCAAGCGAGGAGCATATATTCTGATAGTGGGTTTGTGTCAACCATCTTTAGATACAGTGGACCCCCGCTTTACGATCAGCTCCCAATGCGACCAAATGTAAGTGTATTTATGTAAGTGCATTTGTCCGTGTATGTTTGGGGGTCTGAAATGGACTAATCTAATTCACAATATTCCTTATGGGAACAAATTCGTTCAGTAATGGCACCTGAACATACTTCTGGAATGAAATAATATTGTAAGCCGGGGGTCCACTGTATTTTTTGATGTCACTTTTGCACCATTTATAACATTTCTATTATATTTTTAAATGTTTATACAGTAGTGTACTGTATACTGTAATAAACAGAATAGAAGAAATCAGCTTTAATATACATTACTTAAATTTGCATAATGGTTGGAGAGCTGGTCGTAAGTCCAAGTAGTCGGTAAATGAATACGTTGCCAAGCGAGGAGAGGCTGTATTATTATTAATTTAAATGCTAAATCAATGCAAGCCATTCTGAGCAAGGTCTAAAGGAGGCTCGCTTCTGTCTGATTAAGCCCAGTCTCTGAGGACAGTCTCTGACAACAAGTCCAGCTCAAAAGAAAAATGGGGAAGTAAGAGAGTCGTCTAGAATTTAGAATACATGTACGTATATGCCTAATCATTAATTATATGACAAAATAACTGATCCAAAAAATTATCTGGAGATGACACAAAAAAAAATCTCCAAATATCTCAAATTAGTTTTTCACTTATTATTTTTATAAAAAATGAAACGCTAATACTACAAGGGTCATATAGCATAGCTATTTTTCACTTATAGTACTACAGTAAATGATCAAATAATTCTTGCACATTTATCAAAGGAAACATAATACAGACATCAAATAAGAGAGCATATATAGTGGTGGAGACAGACGACTGAAATGAGAGGGTCAGAATAATAGAGATGCAAGTAGTTGGCATGTATTACATGTTAGGTAAAAGGATACATGTGCAACTAACAAAGCATTTTATTGTGGCAATGTTTTACTGTCCAGGATCTTGACAAAGGTCCTGGAAAGTGAAACATTGCCACAATAAAATGTTACATTAGTTGCAGAAGTGTCCTGTTACCTAACGTTGTTAGTAATTTTACTTTTATTGATAAGTATTACATGAAAGCAGTATCCAAACTAGGCAACATCTTGTTTGCAAAGACTCTGGATGTAATGGAACTATCAGACTTCTGTGGGATGGCATTACTGATAGCACTTAAGATGCTCTCCACACATTTTTCTTTATGAAGATCACTGTCACTAATGATTAAGTTTGACTCATGCCACTTCATAGGGTGTATGTACTTTAACAATTCTTGTGTTGGATGTTGGCACAGCCATTATTATAATCATGGCTGCAGGCATGTTTGAGTTCGTGGACTATGTTCTAGTAGCCCATTTCTTCTCACTTACCTCACAGGGTAATACGTACATGTATATTCCTGTGTAAGTGATAGTCATTCTTACCATATGTTTTGCACTAAGTTTTTATAGGTGTAGAGGAGTTAGTGGTTTTAATTAAAACACTTTTTTTAATTTGTTGGATACATTGGTTGTCACATTGTTAACTGGTAGCCTAATGTATCTGACAGCTCCCTGATCAAATAGAATGGTGTTAGTCTTGTTAAAGACGAGTGTCAAACTGCAAATGAAGTTTAAGGTAAAGTGTCATCTAAAATCATATGTACAGTACAGTATGTACTAAAATCAGCATGTACAGTACAGTATGTACTGTACATGCTTCTACAAGGCACTGTGAAGTGGAGAGACTGAAAGCCCCGAGGAAAGTACCTATTACTACAAGTTTTAAATCATGCTGCAATAGTGGGAGAAGAAATGTTAAAAATCATTCTTTCAAGATGATTTCTAGTAAACCTTAAACAAGAGTCTGCTAATCACCTGTGAATAACACCATAGAGAGATAAGGAAGTTTGTTATCCTTCACCTCCTCTACAGTGAACTAACCAGTACTTCCTAGTGATGTTCATATCTTGCAGTTCAAGGCTTTTTGGGCATTATGACCAATAAAAATCATGAACTATACATATGTGTCTATCCACATCTTTCACAACTGAAAGAATGCAATACACTTAAAGACACCAATAAATGACACACAGCCTTGCCAAAAAATTAAGTATTTGCCTTACTTGGGTTCCTAATTACTTCAACGCGCAAGATACCTTCCCTGGGCCAGTCATCACGAATATGGTCCAAGCATGTGATGGGTGCCCGAGTGAAGGCAAGATGGATGTACACCAAAAGGAACAAAGTAGTCAGGGCCTGAAATATTTTTTTTTTTAACACATCAGCCGTATAGTGATATAAGTGAAATATATAAGCACAAATACCCACGCCAATATCCCAAATATATATACATTATATATATATAAACACTGGAGAAAAATGAAGTTGTACATAAACTGCTTAATGAGCAGATCTGGTTAGGAAAATGGAATGATCTTGGCTGGTGATGTGTAGTAGGTATTGGTGACTGATGGTGGTGAGGAATTATTTGTTAAAAACTCACCTTTAATAAAACAGTGAATTCTATCAACCTTCTCATTGGTTGCGGGAAAGCCCGAGCATAAGCAACAGCCAACCTGAAGAAGAGCGCCTGAAAAAGTCGCTCTCTAACATTGGCAAGGCCACCATTATTATTATTATTTGGTCGATTTTGTGTATTATTTCGATTCTGACCATTGTTCCCTGCATTAGCACTCTCTTGCTGTGGTGGCAATTGTCCTGAGACAGGAGGTTGTTCAGGAAGAGATTCCCGAGAGGAGGAAGGAGGTTGCTCGGTGTGTGGCTGATCCTCTGGGGTAGAAGCAGCAGGAGAAGACTGCTCAGAGCTGGAAGCAGTTGTGCTTTGTCCAGATGCTATAGAGGGTGAAGGAGGTTCTGTCGGAGAAGCATCCACTGGGGATGGTGTGGACTGTGACTGGTGCTCCACACGTGACTGTGATGGTTTAACATTTAAATGTGGTAGTGGTGACTGTTGATGTAGCTGAGAATCTGGGAGAGAAGCACCTGAAGATTCTTGGACTAGAATGGACTGCTGAGAGTCATGCAACAGACTGGATGTAGACCTTTGGTCAGTACGTGTACTTGTTGATTCAGACATATTGCAACACACTTCACCTGTATAGAAATATATTTCATTATTTATCATAAATGATTCCAATTACAAGACTGAAATTCAATTAGTAATAAAAGGTACAATTCAAGAGAAGGGCTCAGAGAGCCATCTGAGTTGTGATATCAGCAAGCTCCTGGCAAGACAGCAATTGAATGAATGATGGTAAATGAGCTTCCTCTTCTTTTTGGGATCAAACTACCAGAGTTAAAAAAAATTAAATTTAGGAGGTTACATATTACCAAACATTATTATGGTACCAGTGAACTATATATATATTAGCCAAGACAACATGATGTGCTAGTTGAAGGTCACTAACATTGTATTCAGGGGCAACAGCCTAACTTCTAAGTCTCATATAGTGCCTAGGAAATGGGGGTAATTAGGTTTAAGACATGGGAAGGATATCTCCAATTCCTTAGATCACAGGCCCACCCTTGAAAGATAAAATATTGTATGTATATGACAAATGTTGGGAGATCTTCAGTTGTTAAAAAGACAGGCGCACAACAAGTGATATGAAGACTAAGAGCCTAGCAACAGCCTGGATGAACAGGCAATGAACAATGAAAGCTGACACAAAAGCTGGGCTGTCAGAATAAAGAACCCCTTGAAATGGTCACAGGTATCTATAGAAATGCAAAAAATCAAAACAAAATTCCCAAGAGAAAAAAAAATCCCCAACAGCTAAACCCACAGGGGGCATACAGTCTCTGGGGGATGGGACCTAAGTTTTTATTCAGGCTGTGTATATAATTTGAAACTTGAACAATGGTTTTACACAGTAAATTATGAAGACTTCGATTATAGTTCGACTACTGAGATAACCCAAAAATCAAACAATGTGGTCTACATCCACAGAGGTTAATCCAGGTTTCATGCAGTAAAAGAAGCATAGCTCCAATTCCTTGAAACAAGAGCCTTAACTGTCATCTAGGTTATATGATACATACCTGAATTTTTGGGGATTACCTACGTAATTCACACTGTATGATAACTACTTGTGTGTACCTGTACCTAAATGAACTTACATACTTACTGAAAAGATATATACTGTACATAGCATCTCAAAATACACCTCAAAATTTTCATTAACGACCCAAATATTATAACTTACTAAGCCTTCCCTACCAGGGAAAAAAAAGCGCGGGGGGTGGGGGGATTTCTTCCCCTTTAAAAAAAAATGATGGAAATCGTGCATGCATACTGCCCTTCACCTACCAAAAATATAAAACACCCCACAAAAAAATAAAGAAATTAGAACACAAAAAAAAAAAAAATAGGGAAAGAGTACACGTTTGAAAGCCGAGGTGGCGCTTAATACAGAGCAGCCAGCTGGTTAATGTGCCTCAAATAGGCCAATCTTCCTGCCCTAGGCCTACTTACCGTTGAAAGTAGAGCTGATGGACCACCTAGGAGGCCAAAAAGAGGTGATAGTATGTTTCTAATCGATGGCTGAGAGCATATCAGCTGATTGTTTATTCTCCCACAATGCACCACTAAGGGAGGATCAGGGCCTAATGTTATTATTCTTTTACTCTTACCGTCCTTCACCAATATACTCTCACTGTTTGCTTTAAATGTTTTTTATTTCTCTAACATTTCATGTTATATTTCGCGTATGGATGTGCATTGAGCTGCACCAAAAAAAATAAAATTAGAGTTAACGAGCTTAAAAGTTATTACTATAACGAGGACCCGAACGGAAATAATCAATTAATTTGATATTTTTTGGGGGGGGAGGGGGGAGAGGGGGCTATACTAGATAATTAACACATATGTTATAATGTAAGGCAGTTGTAACCATCTAAAACTGTGTGAATGTACCTAAATAAACTTAATAGCCAATTTGGCGAATTATCCTGGTACCTCTAACGTTCATTGACTTTTTTTATGATTTTTTTAACGTTTATAAGAATGCCTATTACTGATTATACTGTCTGGGGAATTTAGAAATGCTGTATTTGCTGTTTAGCTTCTTCACATGAAAAATGTTGAAAAACAAACGGATATATTGATGGTCGTTTAGCCAGGTCTCCTTTAACACTCTCACAAAGTTATTAATAAATAAGTTTATTTACGCACAGGTACACGTAAGTACAATTATCATACATAGTGTAAGTTACCTAGGATAACACACAAAAAAATCAAGGACCCCAATGGAAATAAGTCATTTTTTTTCTGGCTTTTTTTTGGGGGGGGGGGAGTTATCCTAGGTAATCGACACATATGCTGCTTTGTATGATAATTTATGTAACTGTATTTATGTGTACCTGTACTTGAATAAACTAACTTGCTTACATGTGGAATGTGATATGTGAAAGATGGCCAGTGTAATTCCTATTTTTAAAGCAGGGGATAAGTCTCTACCGTCAAATTACAGCCCAATAAGCCTGACCTCAATTGTAGGCAAATTACTAGAGTCAGTTATAGCTGATATTATAAGAAACCATCTTGACAAGCATAATTTGCTTAATGATACTCAGCATGGATTCACAAGTGGCCGTTCCTGCCTAATTAATTAACTAACTTTCTTCACTAAAGCTTTTGAGGTTGTTGATCACGATGAAGGATTGTTTTTGTTTATTTGGTTTTTAGTAAGGATTTTGATAGAGTACCACATCAGAGACTGTTAAAGAAAGTGCCAGCTCATGGATGGGAAAGGCGTAAATGGTTAATAGCTCACCAACAGAAAGCGTGCATAATGGGGTAATCGGGTGGGCTGTACGGGCGTTCTACAAGGGTCAGTTTATATAATAATAATACTATAAAAAATAAATTAATAATAATGGGTATAATATCTTATTCTACGGACATGACAAGGTATACAGTCTAGCTGAATCAATTATACTATGAAGCTGCTTGCTGAGCATTCGGCAAATTAGTCAGTTTTGTCAGGATGACCACACAGTCGAGGTTCGAGGTTTGACCAGACTTTGTAAGAGGGAGGGGGGAAGAAGATGAGTAAGGATGGAAGTTTGGAAAGGTTGGGGGGGAGGTAGGTGGGGTTATAAAAGGGTATGTGGCCTATCCACTTGGTGTAATTGATATGCGTTTATCTGAGTAGAGTTTGGAGAGAGTTCGGGTTACGCCCCGGCCGGTTGTGACCAGCCTTTAGGTCAGTGTCCCAGGATGGACCCACACCAGTCGAGTTACCAGGTTCCCATTTTAATGGATGGGGGAAACATAGGAACAGGTGGAAGGAAACGTCATGGGTTTAGTCTAGGTGGGAATCGGAACAGGCCCTACCGTTGAAGCTGAGAGCTTAACCACCAGGCCACAGTGCACATTGAGTGATTTATGAAGAGGTTGGTTATATGAGTAGGGTATACCTCCTGCCCATCAATTTCGCAATGCTATATTGTGTTATACCAGTGCGAAATTGAATTGGAAGGATGCATACTGCATAGAATTGCTTGCATTTTTTTCGCAAGAGGGTGGTCAGGAGGCGCAGCTGCAGGCGAGGGTTGCCGGGCATTCGTTGGAGGTTGGTTGCTCACCTGGAGTCGGCCAGCAAGGCAGTGACTGAGGTGGTGTCCTGCTGTATTGTAGTAGTAGGTGCAACGAGGTCAGTTGTGAGGTGTTGGTTGTTAGAAGTGGGTCACCCGGAGATGGGGAGCGCTAGTCCATGTTACTGGACATAGAATGGTTCCGGTGGTATCCATTCTTCGTCTTCGGGGAGGTCGCTTAAGATTTTAGGACGAGGGAAGTTCTCCTTGTGGATAAAGCGTCGAACTCTTTGTTGGAGGGTCATTCTTTGGGATCTGTGGGGAGGGGTGGTGATGGTATAGTCGGTTGTGTTCGCTGGTTGAGGGGGATTCTCTCTGTCAGGCATGTAGAGTTCCTGCATGTCATATAGTTGTCTCTTAGTAAGTTTGTCTAATCGGACGTTAATTGCGGGGATTCTCTGTTGTATGTGTAGGTCCTCTGATCTGATTGTGTCTCTGAGTCTGGTGTTCGTGATGAAGCGGAGGCCTTTGTTTTGGACTCTTTGGAGTTTTAGCTTGTTGGTTTTGGTTGTGAGCGACATGGGTACGCAGGGGTATTCCAGCAGAGGTCTGATCATCATCTTGTACAGGTGTAGTTTGATGTGGGGAGGGGCTGCTTTGAATCGATAAAGTTGGCCAAGGCGGGCTTTTGCTAGGTTTACCTTTTTGGTTATGTGGGTTGTAGAGTTGAGTAATCTGCCGATCTCGTATCCTAGGATCTTGTTAGGATTCCCTATAGCGATACGGGTGCCTCTGATGGAAATGCCCCCTTTTTCTTCTATGGTTGATGGTAAGCACCCAACGGTGCTGATAAGGACTTTGTCAGGGTTGGTTGTGATTCTCCATTTCTTCTCCCACCTGGCAGTTCTATTTAGTTCTTCATTCATTTTCTCGATTGCTCTCCTATGCTTGTTTGCACCAGCTGTACGGGTGGAGGAGACAACATGGATGACATCGTCTGCGAATTGGGTGATGATGGTGTCGGTATGTTCAGGTTGGGGGAGGTCGTTGACCACCCAGGTACCCATTTTATACGGATGGGTGAACATGGACAACAGATGTCTTATGGAAATACGTCCTAATGTTTTCCAGCCGTACCAGCGATTCGATCTCCGGACCTCAGTGTGTGAGCTGAGTGCACTAGCCATCGAGCTACGGGGCACCATAGTTGTGATATGAGTGATATGAGCAAATTCGCTGATAGATTATATAAATTATCATACACAGCAGCATATGTGTAGAGAACCTGGTATAACCCAAAAAAGTCAGACAGAGTGACTTATTTCCACTGGGATTCTTTTGCCCCAAATGACACGAAGATAGGATAATTGATTCATGTGTAGATATCAGGAAACTTCAGGAGGATTTAGACAAACTCAATACCTGGTCAGAAAAGTGGCAGATGCAATTTAATGTAGATAAAATGCAAAAGTGCTGATAATTATCAGCACTCCTACACGGCCGCTTACATCACACACTAACACTTTTTCATGGCAATGACAATGCATATATAGTAGAGGAGTGGCAGATATTTGCCAGACAAGGACAAGAGTTCAGGACTGTATAATATGGATTTACACATTGATCCTACCCTGTAGGTCCATGAAGCTAAAACCTTGGGTAGCTTCAAATATAGGTTAGAAAATAATAATAATAATAATAATAATAATAATAATAATAATAATAATAATAATAATAATAATAATAATAATAATAATAATATCTTTATTTATTACAAGTACATGTACAAAGTATTCAGTCCTGGCTGACATCAGTGATATACTACTATATAGAAAGCCCTTTATTATGCAGGGCATTTCTGGCAAATTAGGTCCTTGTCCCAGGATGCGACCCACACCACTCGACTAACTCCTAGGTACCCATTTTACTGATGGGTGAACACAGACAACTGGTGTAAAGAAACACACCCAGTGTTTCTATCCACATAAGTGAGAGGGGATGGATTTGAGTTGGACTTGCACTTGAGTTAATAGGGTTATCAGTGTTTAGTCGTTGGGTAATATTGATATAATGGGTTGGGCAAATATTTTGTTGGTGGGTTTTGTTTTGAGAAGGACTTGCCAAGTATGGGCCAGTAGGCCTGCTGCAGTGTTCCTCATTTTTAAACTTTTCATGTTTTTTGTCCAGAATATATGACTTCAACCAAACTTGGATTTTTTTCTACTTTTTTTTTTTCGCTGGGACGTGACTCACAGCAGGACTGGAGTTTTTCACTCCCTGAATGTGACCAATAAGAGTCAATTAGGACCCTGATGTATGTTTTTTTGTTTTTTTTTTAATTTTAGGAAACCAAGGAGATAGATGTATGGAGATTTTTTCCCTACCTTTCTCCAGGCCCGCGAATCGAACCCAGGAATCTTGTCCGCTCCCAGAGAAGCAGACGAAACCCCTGAACGATGAAATCTTGTGTCTGGTCTGATTCTCATCAGGGTGCGCGAGTTCCCTAGGTTCGAGTCCTGGCCGGCTGTGGTTCTTCCCTCCAGAACCACTCGTTTTCATGAAGGTATTGATACTCAGGTTATAGGTAATATTAAGGACCGGTGAAAGAATACAGCATTTATTTAAGGGAATAAATATTCATATATGACCATCTTTCCTGTAGGTTAAACAGACACAGGTGAAGTTTACGGAAAATGAGGCGTTAGTGCCGACTAGTGGTGAGAAGACCCGAAATACAGAGAAGCCTTTATAAGTGTAACGTTTCGCGCATAAGGAGGCGTCATGTACATAGAAAATGTGTGTGATGAATGGTTTGAAAAACATGAGAAGTGAACTCAGTTGAAAGATCAGGAAGCAGAGCTTCAAAGGAGCACTGAAGGAGGCCTACTGGCCCAGTCAGTGTTTTAAGTACGTGTTGGTCTGAGATGAGGTGGGCGATGACTGCAGCCTAGGTGAACATGCCACTGTTGTGATTAATGATGTTGGATAGTTCAATAACTAACTGTTCATTAAAATGGTATAAAATACCGACAGATTGTTAGGTAAGACACATATGCAACAGTTAGGTATCTTTATTTCGAAACGTTTCGCCTA